GAGCTCGGCAGGTCTCGGTGGGAAAAGGTACCCGGGCTTCTGTCTGTCCTCCTGTCCCGGCTGGACCGACGGAGCAGCGCTGGGATTTGCGTTTGCCTGTCTTCACGGACGGTTCTCACGCAGTGTTAGCTTGAGACGTGTTTCCATGGATGGACAGGTTTGTCACTCTTCAGTCAAGTCCTTTCCAAATTCTCAGTTGTTTTTTAATTTTAATACCTCTGCATGTTTTCCTGGTATATTTGGGAAAAAAACCCAACCAAACAAAAAAACCCAACTAAAACCATCTGTTGTCAGGTTATTACGTCTGATGCAAAGGCAGAAGTCTCTGCACAGTTCTTGCCGAGTGTTTTGAGCTTCGGCCCCATTTTTCAACCAGCCACCACATTTATGACTATAAACTTTGAACTGCTGTGTCACGTTCTAGAACCGTGTCGGTGCTGTGACTTCCCTGTAAAGCTCAGGTAATGTTTATACCTCAGAAGCTTATGACTGAGTTTTTGTATTTCTTCTTAGAAAGGGAATATTTAGGGACTGATAAATGCCACGTGGCTAAATCAGATGTGTCTGTAGCACCACCCTAGATTTACTTCTACACTTTCAGTTTGTTTTGTGTAATAGTATTTTCACAAGATAAAACTAGTCTTGGATATGCTTCTTACTAGATCGAGAGGCATTGGGATGTTTATCATAAAAAGGTGGGCACCTGATGACGCTTAGGTCTTCAGACCTTTTCTTTGTCAGACTAACAGCTCACTCTTGGGTATGAACTGAGAGGGGTTAGACTGAAGGCCATCCAGCTTAGTCTGCTGTTTCTGAAAAAGTGAAGTGATGGATGTTTACGGAGGAGTGCAGGGGAAAGAGCGTGCCTTCTTTTAGCATGTCTCTGGGAAACAGTACTTTAGGAAACATCCTGAAACTACTTCTTAAAAAATCTACTGGAAGGTCAAGCAGAAGACTTAAATGTCTATTATGACTGTTATCGGCTGCAGTAGAATTCGCTGCTTTCCCTTGACATTTCAACTATCAGTTTAGAATTCCTTTTTATTTAGTAGGCTGGAAATAGAAGCTGGGCACCAGTACTTCTGCTCTGGGCACCAGCTACCTGCTACCTCCTTTTTAGCCTGTAATTATGTTATGGTCATGTCCATATTACATGTCCTGTCAATGAGCAGTGTTGCAAGATAACCCACATAACTCCCATGCTGAAGTTTCTGTCCTTCCTGTAAACAGTATTAGCCAGGCTCCTACATAGTGCTTTCTGTTGCATATATAGAATTGTCTGTGTCTGTTTAAAAGCTTTGGGGCAGTCGTTCACATCTGTAGTGACACAGTCCATGTAATAATCATAAGTTTGCTATTTTGGCCTGAAGCTGTATGGTATATTATCTTATAAGAATATTCAGAATTGTGCATCACTTGGTAAGAAGTACTGTACTTAGATGCATGATGCATTTGTGAAGCAAGACAAAGGGAACAACCCTGACTCTCTAAATTATGTTATTTTAGTCAACTTTCTATACTTGGCATTGATACTTTTGACTGGGGGGAGGGGGAACTTCCTGACTCTCACAGTGATGAAATGGAAACATACGTTTCACCCAGTCTTGTTGAGTATTTGTCGTTAGCTTAATTTATAGAATATTAAAACAGTTTACAAGTACAAACTAAAAAATTGTCATTACTTACAGTTAAAAACAGTTTTATGGGTTAATATAAAATGATAAGAAAGTAGCATCATAATCCTCCCTTTTAAAATCTTAGTATTAGTATGCCAAGCACACAGTGAAACTGAGACAGACTTTATCTATGAGTGTGGTTGGTGTCTCTCTTCTCTTCCTGTTTCTTCAAAAATAAAAAGGCATCCAAACAAAAATCTTTAAATTGAGGAGGAATTAATTAAAGACATTCAGACAATTAATACTGACTAGCCATATAAATACTGATTAATGTTATAACTGGATTACTAGTTGAATTAATCTAGTAGGATCGTTCATCATAAAGCTTATAATAGTTCTGTTTACTTTTCTCAGTTTTGGCCTTTCTTCCTTGGTTTCAAGTCTCTGACTTGAGGCCTGAGACTGATTTTTATCTAGACAGGAGACATGGCTTTAATTCTCCTGTGCTTGTGCTGCTGTCCATCTGTTGCCTGTAGGAGATCTTTATTAGAGGTTGGAGGAAGTGAATGTGTGGACCTGAAGAGCTTTCATTGCCTTCTGCTCTGCTGACTCTGCCAAGTCTGTTGACTGGATAACAGTCCTGAAGCTCCATCACCCAAAAAGCAAGAGCAGGAGCTGGAATAGAACTGCAGAATGGTGACAGAAATGGCAGTGTTCTCAGAGGCCTGGCTTCTCGTCCGAGGTCTTGTTTGTAGATAAATACATGTAAGGATCAGAGGATGCTCTCTCCTTTAAATGCCGGTTTGATCAAATGGTATTTGTCTTTGTTAGAGGATGATCTCAACTTTCCCGTTTTGAGTTGGGTTTACTGCTCTTATGTAGTGGCCTCAATGCTCCCTTCACATCTCCGTGTAATGCCTAGGTTGATTTCTATAGAAATAATCTGAAAACACTGTGTGGGGGAAAAACTTGATACTATTAAATTACAACCATTCCTCAGTTTTCCATCTTTGATTTGCACGTGGAAAGATAATTTACACATTTAAAAAAAGGTTGACTGTCTCTCAGGAACACGCTGTACCTCTGTCCAGTTGCTGCATGTGACATTAAGGAAATGCATTTTTAAATGGAAGGAGTGCTTTTCCACGTGTGAAGAGCACTTGCTCCAGTGGTGGCTGCTGTCTAACTACTGGCTCTTGTGCTTGCAGGCGATGGAACACCTGCTGGTAACTATGGCTATACCAATAGTGGATACAGTGTTTATGAAGAAGAAAATGAAAGGTTAACAGAAAGTCTGCGTACAAAAGTCAGTGCCATTAAATCAGTAAGTATTTGATGATATTGGTATTGTCACATTTATTGAATTAAATTATATGGACCAGTGAAGCAGTAGACTTAGTTGAAAACATAAATTTAATACAAGAAAGAATTATTGTCAACCAAAATGCACAATCATTCATTTGTATAACTGATTCTTCCTTTAATTAGATTTTTAGCTAGAGGTGTCCTTTTTTGCTAACCTTGAGGACAGCTGTGGTGTTCCTTACAGTTTACTGTCCTACAGAATGAATTACTGTCCCTGCAGAAACTAGAGAATTTGAGTTTAGATCAGTAAACTGGCTGAGGTTCATTTAAGAAAACAAACTACTTGGTTTTGGTGTTATCATTGTGGCTCATCAGCTTCTGCTCTATCTGCTTATAAATCTGTAATGTGAAAACAGCTGTTAGAAATAGCTTGCTAATACACTCTGAAAGAGAAATTTGTTTTAATGATCCTGATTCCTTCCAGAGATTGAGGGCTTCTTTGAAGCAAGTCTTAACTGAAAGATAGCATAGCTATTCTTAGCAATAGGTGTTGTTTCTATGTATGTAATAGAAGCCAGTGATTTCTTAGGCCAAAACTAATTCAAATTCCTATTGCTAATAATATCCTTTTGCTTAACAGTAATTTGTTTAATCTCAAATAGGAAGTAAAACCTTAGATTTCAGTTAAGAAATTATCTACCTAAGTAATTTTGCGTTAAGTAGGTAAAAGGAAAAGCGTTGACCTTTGTTAAAGAATTTCATTTCTCGTCTCCTTCTCTGATATGCTGTATTTCAAATCAGTGTCCCAGAGTATGCCTACAGCATGGTTGATAGTGCCCTGTGGAGTAGCATGTGTGCTCTTTCTGCAGTTGCATCTTTTAGTGCAATATAATGATCCTGGAGTACAGAATAATCTTCAGATAATCTCCTGGAAGCCTCATGTTTCACTCTTGACTTGATGATAGATGGTGGTGAACTGCAGCAGTAAGAAATAATGAGATGTAGGTTGTGTCACAAAAACCATGGGTTTTGCTAATCCAAAGCATGGGGGCCTGGAGCACGTTTTCCTCTCTTCTAGGAGTGGAGCTGGTTGTTCAAGGCCAGTGTGCTGATACGAACTGTTATAGAGGAAGAGCTGCTAAGAAGTCTCAGTGGGGGTTCTCCCTTGTTTTGCTTGGGAGCCTCTTTTAAGCAGAGATTCTCCTGGCTGGCCCCCACCTTTGCTATCATGCAAGCATAGCAGCTTGCAGCTCTCTGCAGCTCTGTCTGCACCTGGTCTCATACCTCCCTGATTCTGAGCCTAACCTGCAGACTCGACTTTCTGGCTTGACCTGCCTCATAGCTGTGGATGTGCTGGGTGATCACCAGGCTGTTGCTGACCCTGGTTACTACCTGTGGTGTGGTGGTTTCAGCCACAGCTAAGTGGCACACAGTCCTGCACTCACTCCCCCCACCTGGTGACATGAGGAGAGAAAAACAACAAAGGGCTCGTGGGCTGAAATGAGGACAGGGACTGATCACTCACCAGTTATGGTCACGGGCAAACCAGACTCAACTTGGGGAAGAAAAATCAACTTAATTTGTTACCAATCAATCAGAGTAGGATAGGGAGACGTAACAACCACATCTTAAAACACCTTCCCCTGACCCCTCCCTTCTTCCTGGGCTCAAGTTACCTTGCTCTTGATTTCTCTACCTTCTCCCCCACAGCAGCACAGGAGACAGGGAATGGGGGTTGCAGTCAGTTCACTATTGCTGCTCTTTCCACCATGGGGTCCCTCCTACAGGCTAAAAGAGTTCAGGAACAAAATGTTCCAAAGTGAGCTTCCCACTGAGTCATGGACCTCTTCAGGAACAGCTCCTGGCTCTGGCATGGGGACATCCATGGGCTGCAGATGGGTCTCTGGTCTAGCACACCTCCTCAACCCCAGCTCTTGGGTCTTCTTGGTCATCACGAACTCTCCATGTAGTCACAACTGCCCTCAGGCACAGCATTCTGCTCTGGTTTGGAGTCCTTCATGGCCTACACATGGGTATCTGCTCCACCTTGACCCTCCATGGGCTGTAAGCGACCCTCATTTTACCTCCCCTTACTCTTCTGCCTGCTCATCTGGCTGTCTGAGGTTCTCTGTCTCCTCCCCTCCTCCTCCTCCTCCATGTTAATGATGCTCTTTTTGTTCAGGCCCCTGGTCTTTTGTTCAGGACCATGGTTTCTCCTGATGTCTCTCTCCTCCCTTGCCAAACCAGTTCCTCCCCTCATAAATATGGATTTGAAGAGGCATTTCCCTATCACTAACTGGCTCAGCCTGGGCTGGAGGTGGGTCTGCCTTGGAGCCAGGGGAGCTTCTTGAAGCTTCTCACAGGGGCCACCACTATAGCCCCTTCCACTACCAAAAACACCAACCCCCCCCAGCCCAACACACTCTGGACTGACTCTCTCACCTGTGTGCTCGACTTGCCTTCTTGTCCTGCTCCGCCCTTGCTGTTTCACAAAACAAAGCAGAGAAGGTATAGACAAATTCACAAAATAAATTCCCTTTTATAGCAGAGCAGCAACTTGTCAAGAGATGTGTTGGCAGGTTACAGGTGTCAGCTCCAGCAACACTCGGTCAAAAGGAGTGCTTCCAGTCCCCTGTGCTGGGTGCCAGAAGTTTCAACAGTTGTTCCAGGAAATGGATAATTGCTACTTAGACTTGACTAGATCTTGAATTTTTGGAAGTCCATGTAATAATTCTACTAAGGAATTCTCTGTTGAAGGAGAAAAGGGGAGGACAAGCGTTGAGTACCTTCTGTGACTCTCTAGACTCATCTAGTCAAATGATGCGTACTTTCCTAAGGGCTGTTGACAGAATACTGTGCATGTTAACTTTGGGTTTTGAAAATACCAAGTACTGTTTTCACGTTTTACCTGGGGAAATGCTAGTCACATCACGTATGTTAGACTGGTTTCTCTAATCTCTGTATAACTGATTACTCGTATTTAATAATTTTTGGTTTTTTTCTTAATAGCTTTCCATTGAAATTGGAACAGAAGTTAAAAACCAAAATAAAATGTTATCAGAAATGGTAAGTATTTAGTCACTAACTTTCTTTAAATATGGGGCAGTATTATTAAAAAGGCTGTTCTATATTTAATTGTATTTAAAAATAAAAGAGAGAAACAGAAAATAAGGATGTCAGAAATGCCTTTTTTGCTTATGTTTTGCTTTGGCTTGGGGAAAAAAATATCTCTGGATAAATGGGCAAAGGTTTACCCTGTTTAATTTTTAGAAACTGCATCTGAAATAATTTTAGTTTTGGAAAATTTGAAAAAAAACCAAAACAGGAAAAACTACACTTAGCAAGCTTAGTAACATGTCTTTTGTTGTTTTGTTTGTTCTGTTTTTTTTAAATGTAGGATAATGATTTTGACTCTGCGGGTGGACTTCTAGGTGCGACTATGGGCAGGCTGAGAACACTCTCCAGAGGAAGCCAGACAAAGCTGTTGTGCTACATGATGCTCTTTGCATTGTTTGTTTTTTTTGTACTGTACTGGATTATTAAACTGAGGTGATGCATGTTAACTTTGGTTTAAATTGCATAATTTCAACTATAAAGCAGTCTTAATTAATGAAGACATTGATCTAAAGTGGCATATTCTGTTGATAAAACACAGTGAAATTGTTGTAAAATGCATTAACTGTTAATGCAATGTTATATATAGTTTTCTTAATGTATCAGAATCTTTACCATCATCCCCTATTTTGGGGGGGATCATTTGTAAATATGCAGAAACTGCTAGCATAGTAGATTGCTTTTTTAGGGAAAAGTAGCTTTTAGAATTGATTTTTTAAAATACAGAAAACAATGGTTGTTTGGCTATGAAGTAATTGCAGAATTACAAGACTTTCACTCTGCTTTTCATTCTGGGCCATACTCTAAATTAGAGCTCCAGTTTCAGGCATATAGTAATGTCTAGGTTGCAAAAGCAGAAAGAATACTTTGATCTTTCTAAATTGCTATTACCTGTGGACTTTTAAAAGGCTGGCCTGAAGCTAACAAATGTGATAGTGGTACCCCAAAGATTATTTTTGTGGATAGGTCTGATAGTGTACATGTTTAAGTAGCTTAAACAGTGTTTTGATAAGAAGTTACTTAAAACTGGATTTTTTTTTTTTTTTTTTTATTTAAATGTGACAAATTGTGCTTACACGGCTGCTCTTTTAAGCAAATACCTTTGGTCATTGGGATCAACCAATGCGGACACAGTACAAATGTTTTCTTTATATTTAAAGTATCTAAAACGTAATGATTCCATTGAATCACTAGAATGTCTACCATTAGTATGTTTACTTTTCAATCTGTGATGATCCCTAAATCTGCACTGCATGATGTCTGAAATATGAGGTCAGATATTTTGAATTTTATATTAAAGTATGTTATGACACACCTGTTGGAGATGCTGTCATATTAAGGTTTTTTATTTTGAAGACTTAGCTTTGGCTCACCAGATAGTTTATAATAGTTGAAGATATTACATTGCTGAGTTTAACATTCAAAAAGTTAAGTTTCCTAGATATTGCAATGGTACATACAATTTTTGAAGAACTTTTCTAGAAATACTGTATAACATGTTGCCATTAATAACTAATTACAAACTGACAAATAAAGTGTCCTGCAGTATTCTAACTAGTGTTGTTTATATACAGTCTTTTGTACTGTAGAATACCAATGTATTTTTTGGAAATGGTGCTGCATTTACAGAGCTATAGGGGGAGCACTGTTAAAATAAGAAATGGAGGTGTATGCTACCTTTCTTTCAGATTAGATTTAATACGTAACAGAAGTATGACATGCAAGTCACCTCATACAAAACACTTACACAGAAGGTGTGAAAGTAATTAAAGCTCAAATATTTCTAGCCAATTTAATCTTTGATTGTTAAAAGGTCTACAATGCTTTTACAAATAACAGAACATCTAAGTACTAACACTAGAGTAATGCATCATCTTTATATGAGAATTGCTAGGCTTGTTAAACAAGTGCAGCATTCCCAAAGCTAGTCAACAGGATATAGTTTGCCGTCCAGAATTGATGCACTTGTATAATTTTAATGAGACAGTTGAGTGCAAGTTACCTAACAAGTGAGATGAGAATTACTGACATACCTGTTTGACAACCCCACTCCCTTGATAGTTGATCATCTTCTAGAAATATGTTTCTGTCTGTTAAACATGGTGTCTGAACAATCTCTAGACATTTATGGAGGTTTTTTTAGCAATCAATCTGCCATACCAGTATGTGGAAAAAGTTTTAAAACTAAAATCCTGTTGGTTAAAATGTCAAACCAGATTAAAAGGTAATTAATGTAGAATAGGAACTCAGTCTTCTTCCTTTCCCCTCACCTGCCCATTCTTCACTGGTGCAGAGGAATGAGGGGAAATGAACTGGGGTGGGGGGAAATTTAAGCCCATGTCTTTTTGTGTTTCTTCATTTAAGGAAGGTTGTCAATTTTTCTATTGTTGTGTAGGTAGGGTGGGAAATGGGAGAAACTTTAAGCACCGGGAATATATGAAAACTCCAAACAACTTACTACATATATATGCTTATTAGAAAACACACAAGGGCTTTTCTAATTAAGTGCTAAAACAGAGCTCCATTAGGCTCTTTTAACATGAACATTCTGAACTGAAAGGTAACTGGAAGTTACATAGTCAAAACTGTGACATTTCTGGGTGGTTTTATGCTATTTTACAGGATGTAGCACATTTCCCTTTCTTCAGTTCCACTAAAAGGTCAATTTTCAGTTTAAAATCTGAACTGGAATCCTGCAAGTTTGCTTAGCATGGCTAAGGTGACTTTATGTAAAAGTGAAACTGCTTTGAGAATATTTCACTCCAGGAAGGGGAACAGCGATTTGCGTGAACTGTGCACTGCAGCCTTAGAATTTTCCTCAGAATCTGCATTACTTTACTGGTCATTTTCTGGTAGAAAAGCATTACTCTGACAGGACTCAAAATTCACAAATAGTTAGCAAGATTTCAGGATGCTATAGTATAACCTTTAGAATCAAATACACTATACAGTGGATACAACAGAAAAGTACTGGTAGCATAAGGTGCAGTTAATAGCAGCTACATAAGAATACTGCAGTTACTGGTTTTGAAATCTTATGTACATAATTTTTACACAATATCCGTATATTAATGTAATTTAGACTCTATCTAGCAACCATACAGATTATTTACAGGTGGAAGGAAATGCCATCTGTTAACTATCAAACCATTAACCATACCGTATCATGGCGATTCCTTAGAAAATGCTTAATCAACGCATCCATTTGATTACAAGGACAATTCCACTGAAGCTTTTTTTTTTTAACAATAATACGGGCTGTCTGTTCTGGATTAAAGGGCTGTTTTGGGAAGAGTTTAAGCAATTACACATGATTTTCATATTAACATGTTTATTTTTATTATTTTTCTTTAATAATTACACACAAATATGATAGCTTACTGATGAAGTTCAGGCCTCCAGAAGCTTCAGATACAACTAGACATTTGTTTGTTGAATTCTACAAATAAAAATCAACCCCACTCCCACTACCAAACATCAATGACAGAGTAACACAAGTCAATGTGAACTTGGCAAAGATGACAGAGCTCATTTTGATGAGTACTTGGCTAAAAATTCAAGACAGAGAAGGTACTTGTAATTGAGAGAAATCACTGTTCCAGTACTTGAATATGGCAGGGAATGATTTGTTCCTTGATTATTTATCTTGAAATCAAATATTAGGCTACTAGTGAAATCATAGCTGTATCCAAATGGCAGTTATGTTTCTTAATTGTCAGCTTAGGTGCTCTAAAATGTAGACACACCTTGATTAAAGAAGACAGCTTTTCTGGGTGCTTAGTGTGGCTCACTAGACCCTCCCTGCCAAAGCAATAACCCACTGAAAAATATGGAAAAAATCTTGGAGGAGGCCACGTGCTTTCAGACTGCTTCTTACCAACAGGCACTGGATACTGGAGAATACATAGAATCATAGTGTTCAAAGACCTTGATGAGCATTTCATTGGCAAAATTAGTTACATTTTCTATTTTACCCTTGAAACATGTACTTGCTGTTACCTTCAGTGTGCAGTACAAGCCATGCTCTTGCTTTCTTAATTTTCAAGGAAAAGTGGAGATGTGTCACTTGCTTGGAAGTGTTTCCATGTATTTGCATATGATGGAAAGCATGGTTTCATCTGTACCACCTCCTATTGACATTAATCTCAAGTCTCTGTAGAAAAATAAGAAGTAGATTTAAACATGTGCATGCTATACTGATGAAACGAGTACAGAACTGCACACACCCATTTATTCTATGCATTTCTTATGAAGCTGCTTTTATTATATTGAAACTCCTTCTTTACAGAAGTACATACATGATGTGGAAAATATGTTATCAGCCCTGTAAATAGCCTTTGTGTACAGGGATGTTGCTAATTCAAAATCAAAAGGCTTAAGATACAATTTGGCATGTCAAATTTTCGGATTTTCTATTTCAGATTTTCAGCCTTAACTTGGCATAACACTGTATTTTAATCTTGAAATAAGTAAAAATCTCTCATGGTGTATGCACCTGCCCCTGCTTAAGCCCAGCCAGACCTCCTGCAGCTGAACTCCATACAGACTTCTCTTTAGGTCTTATCACTTTGGACTGGCATATAAAGCATCACAGGCTCTTCCCAAGGTTTTCTGCTGGGCTGCCTGCTCAGATGACCTACACTGTACATACATAGTAATGCCATCTGTCTGCAGAACACCTCACCCACTGCCTCCTCCGGGCGAGACACTCTGCAATACTTCCCGCAACATCCCCACTGTTCCTGTGCCAAGGCTGTAGGTGCCTTAACCTGCAGCTGAATTTTAGGAGGGGGAAGAGCTTCCAGAGGGCCAGCAGCAAAAAGTGTTGCTGCACTTAACTTTGCTTAACTGTGTGGTGTGGTAAAAAGGGTACTGGTCAATCTTTACATGAGGTATTGGAGAACTGGACGGAGAAGGTACATTTTCATTCAAGTTTTTTAACCAGTGAGCATCCTGGTCTCCCTGGCTATGTGAGATCTGGTGCAATCCATATTAGTATGATGCAGTATTATAGTATAGTATTAGTATTTATAGTAGTTTAGCATTATATAGTATATAAAGTTTCTCTGCTTTAAAAATGAATGGCTGCTCCAAGCTTACTTTTTATTTGATATTTGTAATCGGACTCATTTACAAGCTGCTATTTTATATCACTGAGTCATCCCTAATGATATTGCCTAAGTTCCCTGTGCTAGCCAGACTTCAAACTACTACAACCTTAAGCAATTTTCTTCACAAATTTCTTTTGCCCTTTGGGAAGAATTAAAAAACCAAACCAAACCAAACAAAAACAAAACCACCAAACACCTG